CTCTGGGTGTCAAATTTTCCAAGCCCTCTTTCTTTATTATATGTCAAGAAATTTCATTTATCTCTTTCTGTTTCTGAACATAAATATCCTTTTCTTTTCATTTTCCCTAAAACGTGGTTGTTACTATTATGTTCTGTCCATGGCATTTACAGCATCCTTCTGTAGAGCCACATTTCTGATTACCCACGTCCTAAAGGGATATGACACTGTGAAGAAGAAGGAGGAACAAATACTTTAACATTAAATGTTTCTCGCCGTCTCCACACAAAATTTGGGGACTGTACACGAATGACTTGACAATGATTAGCGCGACACAGTATTTACAATGTTTCAAAAACAGAAACTAAAACTTAAATTTATTTACAGTATTTACATTAGTCGGACTATTGTCCTCATCTTTGTCGCCATATTTGTCACAACGTTTCGGCCGTTGTACGCTCCGGCCTTCTTCAGGTGGTTGGAATTTCGAACTGAACCCTTTATTTCGATCACTGGGGTAGACTGTTCTCAAGGACACATGGCACAGTGGATAAAGGCGTTGGTTAGATCCAGTGACAGACCCAAAAGAAGGTGAGTTCAATACCTGGTTAAGGCAGTGGAGAACTTTCAGAGGGAAAATTAGCAGGAGATAACTGATAACTGACATCCATCAAAACATGGCACGTGGAACTAGAACAGTCTACGAAACAGTGATCGAAATGAAGGGGTTCAGTTGAAATTCCAACTTACCTGAAGAAGGCCGGAGCGTACAACGGCCGAAACGTTGTAATAAATATGGCGACAAAGATGAGGACAATAGTCCGACTAATGTAAATACTGTACATAATACCTCATCTCAGAAATATAGACAGACTTAAATTTATTTATAGAATTAAATTTAAAAATCTATATCTATTCATTTTCAAGTAATTTCTGGAATAAGTTATTTTGAAATTTTACTGGGTTTATTAGCATAATCTTGATATTTATTTGTTGTTAAGGTTACGGGAAATTTAAACCATTATTAATAAGAGGTGGTAGGATATTCGTTTCCATCGACATCTGTATCAAATCTAAGCTACTTTCAAAATCAGGTTAAGTTCAGGTAGGGAAGGAGTGCCTGTTCGATGGTACCATATTTTTAAATTAGTAAATTTATAATATATATATATATATATATATATACATATAGAGAGAGAGACAGAGACCGACAGAGATAGATAGATAGATAGATAGATAGATAGATAGATAGATAGATAGATGCGTGTGTGTGTGTGAAAGACGAAAAATCAACATAATAAAAAGTGCCTAAATTTTTTTATTAATATAAAAAATTGAAACGAACAATTACACAAAACTTCGTCAACGAAATTCGGGAGTAGAGGTGATGCATATAACAGCGATCTGCTAAGTGACAAATATTATATTTGTATTCGTCCTATATATATATATATATATATATATAATAAAGATATAATTTTAATATATGCTATATTTATGGGTAAAAGTGCTTAATATAAGAAATGTCTGTATATATATATATATATATATATATATACATGAAGAAAAATATACGGAAAAAACAAACAAAAATCCTAATATGCAATTATGCTGTTTTAATATTTATATAATATCAACGTCGGACGTTTCGGTCTAATAGACCATCTTCAGGACATATTCATAAAACATAATTAACATTAGATCCTATTCAAATAAACATGAAAAAGACGATGGACATAAGAGCAAGACTAATCCAAAAAGATAACTGAAATCAGCATTCCGTTTAAATATGATCACGTCGTCGTCACGTGGGCGATGTTGTGAAAACGTATTTCTAAAATTTGAGTATTTTGAATGAAAAACGAAAAGAATTTTATTTTGATCTAAAACTTATATGTACGTTTGTTGAGCAGTTATCTGCATATTAGGATATTTGTTTGTTTCTCCCGTATATTTTTCTTTATACTGTCGGATCTATATCCATATATTTGCTTACACACACACACACACATATATATATATATATATATATATATATATATATATATATATATAGTGCGATTTCTGAATAACTTATTTTGAAATTTTACTGGGTTTATAAGCACAAAAAATCTTGATATTATTCGTGATGGATTGCTATGTCAAGAAGCAGAGTATAGTTACATCGTTATTTTGGGTAACTGTATCTGTTTGGTGGCCATAATATTTCTCAGTGGTTTCGATTTTGTGTTTCTTGCATATCTTCAACATATGTTGCTAACTTGTTATGTCTCTGGGTATATTCATTGTTTGCCAGTTCTGAACATCCTGAGATAATATGGTCGACAGTTTCATTATATTTTCCGAAGATCCTGCATTTCGGGTTAGTTCTATCCTTGCTTATGTGACACTGATAGGATCTGGTTGCGAGGCTTTGGTCCTGAGCTGCAATAATTAGGCCTTCTCTCTAAGCTTTCAGCCCGGTGCTCCTCGGCCACTGTGTTTTCTGTTGGTCCAGATCTGCTTCTTCCGTTCTTTTTACGTATTTGCCATGTAACGCCTTGTCCTCCCAGTTTTGTTGTAATTTCATTTGGTCAAGTTGTTTTGCTCTCTACTTTACTGGTTTAGCATAGATGGTATTCGCTTCGGTTTTTCTTGGTACGATTTCAAGTATATTAAGCTGAGAGTGCAGTTTCTTTGTCGATGGAGTGGATTTGGTGTTTTACTATTTGCAAGAGAGCGTTGTTGGTTTCTGTAAGGTAGGATTCCAATCTGATTGTTGTAGTTTTTAGAGAATTCAAGTTGGATTAGACCTTGACCTCCTAAAGCTCTTGGTACATAGAGCCTATCAACATCTGATTTTGTGTGGTGCATCCTCATTTGGCTAAGCATTTTTCTGGTCTTGGCGTCTAATATTTTAATGCCATTCAACTTTAATAATGTTGAAGCTGTATGTTACTACGGGTATCGTTAAGATGTTGATAGCCTTCATTTTATTAGCACCATTTTGTTCGCTTTCTAGTATCAAACGTACTCTATAATATTTTTTTCGGATCTTTTTCTTGGTTATTGAATGTTGTATTCCGACTCCTTCATTAAATCCAAATTATTTCTATCTCGTTCCTTAATCTTGTTATTGATATCAAGGTCTAAATCCGTAGTTTTCGTTAGGTTACCGCCTTTGAAGTTGGCTCTGTGACATTAATCGATTCCGAAGTCCATTCTAATGCCTTCGCTGAATGTTTTGACAATTGTGAGTAGGCTTTTCTGTTAGTTGTCATCCTTGGCAAATGTTTAGAGATCATCAATATAAACTAGGTGATTCACTTTGCCATTCTGTCTTGTATCCGTGGCTACTGTTGTTCAGTAGGCAACTGAGTGGTGCTAATACACGACAGAAGAGTAGCGGTTATAATGAATCTCCTTGGAAGATCTCGCTTTTGATGTTGATTGATCTCGATGTTAATGACCCGTTTGTATTGCTTAGATTTAGTGTAGTATTCCAGTTTTTCATGCTTTCTTTTATGAATTTGACCGTTGTCGGGCACACTCTTTATATTTTTAGACTCTTCTGTATCCATGAATGTGGAACACTGTCCAACGCCTTTTTGTAGTCGATCAATGCTGTCGATAAGTTTCTTTTTTTTTCGTTTTCACCTGTTCCATTATTATTATTATTATTATTATTATTATTATTATTATTATTATGTTAGTTTAGATTTAAAATAAACCCACAAGTATGGGGTGTCCAGAGAGGACTGCCCATTACAAATCATCTACAAAACTAGCTTGTTAACCATTACACCATAATGAGATGTCCCATTTATTTAATAAACATAGATTTGGCACACCGACCATACATACTGGGCACCCAGTGAAGATCAGAATCACTGCTGATGATTTTGAAGTCCTGTTTGTTGATCATTACATTTGGATGAGACGTCCGAGTCTTAAAATACTCAGTTTAACTTAATTTGATACAATACCACAAATATGAGGCAACCGGTGAGAACCGTTCTCAGTACTTACTAGTCACGGCCAGCTAATTATTTTTTATGGTTGATGCTGCTGAATTTTCATACGAAAGAAATCTTGTAATCACTGCTTCAGAACAAGTGACAGCAAGTCATCACATGCCTTCAGGACTCTCCTCGTTATTATTTATGGGCCTCTTAATACATATATGTGTGTGTGTGTGTGTGTGTGTAGGAGCATATGAGCGGGAGTCTCTGTGCAATATGTTGTGTTTTTGTTGGGTTCGTGGTTAGGGACGGCAAACGTAAGTGCAGCCCTTGGAGGTACACACACTGCTTCGAGCACACACTCTATCTAATCGGATTTATACTTGAGTGTAAGCATCCAGTTAGAAGGTAGCTCCTTTTGATGAGGTTTTACCCATCTACCAGAAATGCAGTCAGTATATTCTGGGCTTCACCGACAAAGCATGATGAAAATTTGTGATGTAAAATTGCTACACACATACAAAAATGGATATGCATGTATTTACATTCTTTATCGCATGCTATTGTTCAATTTAGCGTTCCAGTTCACGCCGAGTAGTTCAAGAAGCAAAAAGTAAAAATTTTCAAACAATGCTAAAGAAATACAAATGGTAATGGTAACATTAACCGTTTCCCTACAAGGAAACATTCGGCATTCATTGACCCAAGAGCCAGCAGTGCTCTTCAGAAGAATTCTCTGGAAATTAGGTTTTTCAAGTCCAGTAGCTGTTAATGCTCTTTCCAGTACTGATAGAATTTTCCTTCTTAATCTTTCATTTAAAGTCGTTTGGAATGTTAACATCTTGATTATGTCATTATTTTCCCTTCAAGTTTCATGTGCTATCCATTTTAGTTCTTGCCTCTGTTGGTAGTCCTCAACTGATGTGTTTTTTTGTTTTTTTTTGTTTTTTGTTTTTTTTCGGTAAAGTTGTTTGTGATTCTGTAGCGCCAATTCCCAATGTGTTAAGAAGGATTGTCTTCGACAAGACCCACAGGCTTCATTCGCTCAGAGCCATTTTAACCATCGATCTTAGAAAGCGATTTTTATACCGTTGTCAGATATTTCTGAATAGGCATACGAAAGTCTCGATAAGCAATGTATTAACAACCCGGTTTCGCTATTTAGTAATAAAATATTCCGTTCTTATGGCAGCACATGTTCTCTTTAAAAGATGTCTAATAATACCTCTTCCTACCATAACGATGAAATAGATCATTATTAATTAAAGTGAATAGTTTGCGTAATCGATAATTATAGTCACATTTTGTTTTAATATATTAATATTATTTGAAAATTATCAGTCTGTCAGTTGTGTGCCATTGTGATACGTGCGTAGGCGATCATGTATCGAAAGATACATGACTGACGAGGCAGATTTTTTTTTCCGCGGTAGGTTGCCATTTCTTTCTATGGTAGACCAGTTGCCATCCAAGGCTATAGAATCCGGTTTGCCCTCCTATTTACCCATAGCTTGGGGGAGAAGAAGAGGATTCATACCTTTCTCAAGGGTATTAGCACTTTAGTGAATATAATAGATTCGACTGGAATTCGAACTCGGCTCTCCGATTCCTCAATCCGAGCCGCTATACATTAGCCCGTCGTGCTAATTATCACTAAGTTTAATTATCCTTTTTTTTAATTCTTTTTCTTCAGTTGTATGCCAATATGATTAACGAGAAAGGAAACAATTCTGTAATTAGCAGCTAATATAAACGAGGTTATCTCCCTTGGATATACATTTCTTCTTTTTCATACTTAACTAAAATTATTTCAAAAGTTATAGCAATTAAACTTCACTCGGGCCATGAAAATTTGTGCTACAATGTGCCATTTTTGCTATAATACGGTAACACACAAAACATACTGATATCGGACCTTTATAATCATGTGGTCCTAAAGCAATGGTTCTAAACTTTGCTGATAGGTGATTCCATTTCACTTTTCAGATGTCCTCCGCGTAGCTATATTCATCAATGTCCATTCCTATGGTTTCTCTCATCGTTAAAAAATTTCTCTGGAGAGTTTACTTTTCCCATTTTCTTACCATGTCTCGTCCTTTGAATTTTTTTTTTTTTTTGTTTCATCATGCTTTATTTATTTTTAAAAATCTTTTTCTGTCCGGTTTCGAACAGTTTTTAAGAATTTTGTTTGGGCTATCTGAACATATTTGTTGATAAGGATGTCTACTTCCCTCCCCTTTAGCCTTTAAAAAGAGTCTCCTGGTGTCATCCTGGGATGTAGAGCTCTTTTAATATGCGTTGAATTCATGCATTTTATGATATGTAAGCTTTTGTGGATATTGACATAGTTTAGATGACATTAGCTTACAATATTACTTAGTTCTAGCCTCCATTAATCGGCAACATTATTGTAATGATCTCTGAGATTATGATGTGGTATACCAAATTACTATTATTATTGATATTTACTTAGTTTATCTTAACATGGTACAATACTGTACGACATCCAGTGAGCATGGAACGCATTCCATCAGTAACATCTTGCGTGATTAAGTTGCTAAAAAAGCTCTGTGGTCAGATGTGAATGAATATCTTTTTAATTCCTGTTCTTTTGCTGTTGCTTAATAATGTTTTCTTTTTCTTATATTATCACACACTCAGTAACTCCTTGCGTCTTAATGGCTTTATTGCCTTGTTCGGTGTGATATAGTTTTTAAAAAAATAAGATCCTTACGGTCGTTAGCATCGTTCAACTCGAAGTTTAAAGATATAAATGTCGGTGATTTTGTTAGGGTGTAAAGCGGTAAAGTTTTAAGAAGGAATTAAAAAAAAACAAAGGCTCGGGAGAAAACTCATAAACAAATGAATTAAAATCTTGGGCAAGATGCAAGTAAAGAAAACAGGGACAAAACCATGATAAACAATCAATGGAGAAAGAAAGAAAGAAAGAAAGAAAATGATTACAAGGAAAATATATTCAAGTGGAAATATGGCGGTAAGTATGGGAGATAAGAGACAGTGAAAGAAAGACGATGAAAGAAAAAACAAAGACTGAAATAATGAAAAGAAAAGAAAAAAGAAAAATGAGAAACGAAACAAAGAGAGAAAAATATAATGAAAGGGAAGATAGAAGGTTGAACGAAAAGTAAAAGAAAGAAGAAAAAAAAAAAAAAAGAAAGGATGAAAGAACATGAACGAAAAGAAAACAAAGTATAAAGGGAAATAAGAAAGAGAGAAAAAGTCGGAAAAACAAAAGAAATACTTTAAAATGTACAAAAAAGGAAGAAAACAACCCGAGTATAAATTTATGAAAAGAGTTAGAAAAAGAAAAGAAAGTTTTTAAAATCAAAGAAAAACGAACGGGAAAATGAAAAAGAGAAAAAAATAATTAAAAAAAAAAAAGAAAGAAAGATCAATTGGTTATTTTCTTTGAACATTAGAGTAAAAACGTTTTGAAAGTAGCGTTCTAAAAGACCTGCCATTCTCGTGATATGAGAGACTTGTCAAAGGACCACGCCGAAGTCAGAGACGCCGGTCTGGTATTAGCGGTGTTTTTCGGCAGACGGCAAAATGGCGTCATTCCGGAAGTGCATCGGCCACCCACCAGTTAAATAAATAAGAAATTCGCCGATGTTTTTTTTTGTTTTGTTTTTTATTCGAGACTTCCTTTCCCTTCACAGTATTATTTGTTCAGAATGCCTCAAGGAATCACTGAACACTGAAGGATCTAAAGATCCTTCGCTCGGAGGAAGCAGTTGTGATTTTCTCTGAATTAAGAATCTGTCTAAACAAATTATCTTCTACAAATAGCACTAGACAACTTCAAATGAGAGAAGGCTAACTTTAAAAGCGTTAGAAAGCTTGCATTTAAGGTCTAAATTTTGTAAAGAAACCGGTTCTTTAAGCAGTCGCATATGGCTTGAAAAGAGAAATATAGACCTCCTCGTGATGGTCCTAATGTCCACGATGACTAGTGTTTCCTGTGTTAAGCCAGGACCGAGAGTAGCAAGATTATATTATGCCAACCACGCAAAACGGGAGGACAGCTTTATTTAGACAATAAGGAAACAAAACTTTTATTTGACATACGAAAGCTTTTGTTTAAGAACAATCACAGACTTCTGGTACTGGTAGGATATTGCTGTCTCAACCCAGAGAGGGGCCTTATGTTTGGTTTGGTTTGGTTTGGTTTTCGGCAAAGCAATACTTTTTAGGTTATACAATACCGAATACTGTCGTTTTGATAAACGATAGAAATGTAAGTATGCGTTTGGTTGCAGGAGAGTTAAAAGGTAAAACGAGGTTTGGCTTTCACAAGAGTATGAAAAGGTAGACATTGATCTGGTTTGCATGAGAGTAAGAAAAGAAAGGTAGATATAAATTTGGTTTGTCCAAGAGTAAGAAAAGAAAGGTAGACATAGATTTGGTTTGTCCAAGAGTAAGAAAAGAAAGGTAGACATAGATTTGGTTTGTCCAAGAGTAGGAAAAGAAAGGCAGACATAGATTTGGTTTGTCCAAGAGTAAGAAAAGAAAGGTAGACATAGTTTTGGTTTGTCCAAGAGTAAGAAAAGAAAGGCAGACATAGATTTGGTTTGTCCAAGAGTAAGAAAAGAAACGAAAAGTAGACATGTTTTGCACCAGAGTTCTATCTTCATCGACTACAAAAAAGTTTTTATAGTTTTCATTACGTTTTGAAACACCGAATTTTCACTGTCTTTTGGGCAAACACACGAACATGCCTAAACGAAATTGCAACAACCTTGCATCGAAAATAAGCTCAGTTCAAGAGAAACAATGTTACAAAGAATCACATATTCTTGTGGATAGTGGTTCTTTGTCTGTAGCGATGTAAGACAGAAGATAAGAAGAAATCAACAAAGTGAACCATGACATCTAATCCCTATCACGGACAGCAGTAATTCAAACTATGATGTACAGAGTATCGATGCGGATAATTTAATATATATATTATATATATATATATAATGAAGTGAACTCTTCCTTACACATTAGTTACTTTCTATCATAGATATAATTTTCTTTTAGTCATACTATCCTGAATATGGCGACGTACGTTACTGGAGATAAAAGTTAGTATTTAATTATCATAAATACGAACACCTAACACTCTAAATATTTTGAACGCAATTTTATGCCGTCCACTGTAGATATATTTTACATAATTTTTTACTTTCAGGGCAAAAGTGTGTTTTTTTAGATATACAATTCGTAGATGATAAAATTTATTGTTGGTAATTTTTAAAAAAAAAAGTATTGCTGGTAATTTCACTACAAAAATGTAATTTAGGTAATTTTTTATAAAAATTTATTGTTGGTAATTTTACTATAGGGTGTATCTTTATCTATTTTTTTAGTGTTGTATTGAATTTCATTTTACTATAAAAATGTACTGTTGATCACTTTACTATAAAAATGTATTGGTCATTTTATTATAAAAATATATTGTTGGCAATTTTACTATAAAAATGTATTGTTGGTCATTTTATTATAAAAATGAATTGTTGGCAATTTTTCTACAAAAATTTGCCGTTGATTTTTGTTTGGAGGTTTACTATTTGCCTATAGCTAGGACCCTAATAGGTGCTACCGTCCCGGGTCAGGGTGGACTTTGGAACGAATACAGTTAAAATCTTCAATCTCAACACTTTTCTTTCGAATGTAGTTTATTATCATATCCAGGACGGTAACTATGAGGCTTAAAAGTCTGAGGGAAAAGTGTGCGTAGTACAAACGAATAATTATTGAATTTAATATTAAAAATTAGTTCCTTACTTGTCAATTCACATAATTCAGTGGCAAAAATTAATCCTTCAGATCGAATACTATAAGTGCGTGTATCAATGTTTGCAGCCTGACACGTATTTACAAGTTGAATATTGAAAATTCCGCTGCCTAATGGTTGAGGCCTTAGTTTAAGTACAGTGACAAAGAAGGTGATTGTGCTATTGAAAATAAATATTCCCTGCGTGAAATAAATTTGTTTTTTCTTCAATATACGTATGAAAACATGCTGAAATAGATACAAACAGATTAAGATAAAAATGATAGACACTTACGATATAAATAGATTTACATAAAAAAAAAATGTAATTAAATAAATCAGTAAATTCAGTCGTTGATAAGATGGGCCAGTCAGTGTGAATATCAGATTCATGAATCAAGCTGCCGAGGGAATACTCTTTCTTAAGGATAGATAGCATGTGAAAAATCACTGTAAATAATAATAATAATAATGATCAAAGACCAGAAGAACGGAATATCCATTCTTATTGACATGGCAGTCCCTGCAGATTGTAAAGTATCTTTGAAGATCTTCAAAAACTATCAAAATACAAGGATCTTGAAATGGGAATCTCAAAAATGTGGCACATGAGGACATCAGTAATTCCAGTTGTAGTTGGAGTCCTCGGATTTATTCCAACAGACTCATTGACGAGATTTCTGGTTCTCCATGCCTTAAAGAAATACAAACCATTGTACTCACAAGTACAACTCACACATTGCGAAGAGCATTATTTATGTAAAATGTGTGGGATATTTTTTGTTTTGCATTTTTACAAAAATGATTAGTGGAAAATGTCATGAAGCCATTTCTGACCTTCGGTCACTCGTTGATAATAATAATAATGATAATAATAATAATAATCCCTTGATAATGCCGTAGATAACTGCTACTTATGGAGGGGGCACCCTTTTAAAGATTCGGTTAACAAGCTAAATTATAGTTTTTTGGTCGGTTCTCGTACGATCACCGAATTTAAGCAACATCGAGCCTGGACAGTATCTAGATAAATGACAGCTTGGAGATACAACGTCCTGCCATATTGGAATTGAAAATTGGCTCTCCAATTCAATTCATTGTATTCATTTACACGTAAGTCCACTTGTCGAACGTACGGATCCACCTCTCTGGAGTGATTGAAAATTCATTTCGTTAAATGTTATTATAAGCGTTCAAATAAGTGAGTAATGCTATGGATATATCTAGTAAAATATGTAATGTTTATGGCCATGGGGTCATAATTCACCAGTAAGTACGGAATCAGATGTAAAATTGAATTCTGGAGAAACGTCTTTGAAAGATGAACACAGACCGTGGCGTTCATCGTAGTTTGATGATGAAGCTCTACTGTTATGAGGAGAAAGTATTCATGAATTAAAAAAGGTGTTAAACACATCACACTCTAATATATGTCGATATTAGAAAAGAGAGGCAATGTCATCAAGCCAGGTGCTTGGATTGCACACGCTCTTAGCAATAAGAACAAAGCGGATTGTCTATCCTTAGCGACAAGTCTCTTTTCACAGCATACAGATAAACCGTTCCTTAGATATATCATAACATGTGATAAAAAATGGGTTGCATACAACAATGTTAAGCGTAAAATGCAGTGGATTGACAAGGATAAATCTTCCCAACTGACTCTAAAATCTGAGACCCATGAAAAAAAGGTAAAGTGTATGATTACTTTAGAGTTCTTAAATCGCAACGAAACACTAAATGCATATTTATACTTCCAGCAGCTGCAATATGTTCGTAATATTTACTAAAAAAGCGCTATGCTCGTCAATATATTGTTTCCTCCATGACAATGCAACGACACATGCAACAAGAATAACACGGCGTCACTTGAAATTAATAAAAGATTATATCTGCAATTCTTTATTTACGACATGTTCTCTCTTCAACGTCCTATACATCCTTAAGTGTTGTACAAAAATCTTCATTTAATACCAAGAGTATATAAAGACATGTTTCAGTTAATTTATGAAAATCTTATGGTTAACCAAACTTTGAAGTCAGGTATCTCAAAACTATAAAATGGTGCAGATAGAACCTTTTTAATTTCGAGTGACGACAAGAAAAATTTTGGAATTTGGTTGGTTTGTTTCTATCCAAACCGCCATATTCGCCTGACCTTGCAGCAACCGATCATTATCTTTTTGCAATCACTGCAAAACGCTTTGATGGAGAATAAGTTGTTTAATAAAAACCATATTCCAGAGTTTGTCGAATACATTTTCACATTAAACCCCGCGGAATTTTACTCAAAAGGTAATGAAGAGCTTCCCCATAAGTGGCAACAAGTCTTTATAAATAATGATCAATAATGATGCATAATGATCAATAATGATCAATAATAGTAAATAATGATCAATAATGATCAATAATAATGCATAATGATGAATAATAGTAAATAATGATCAATAATCAATGAATATGTGATGAAAAAAATGAGAACATGCTTTATTCTTTTAAGAATAAAGTTGATGCACAAAAACGGAAATTATCCATGAAACAACCTAATATTAATTCTTCCTTAAACACGTTATTTACAAAAATAGTTTCCCTATTTAATTTTGTGTTAATGCACTTAATTCACTGGTTTTCGTTTAGCTTCATATAAAGAACATTTCAAAAACAAAAATTTTACTGCTTCTCTATGGTTGAGAAACCAATGAGAACTAAATATATCAAACCATTGTTTGGTATTCAAGGCTTCTTCTTTCTTATTTTATGTGACATGTCCCTTCAGGCCGTAGGCGATCATGGCCCTC